TTAAGGCTCTTAAATTGCATTTTGCCTGTGCCAGAATACTGATGCAGCCTCAGAGACTCCCAGGTAGCTCAGCAGGTGTCCGTTTATCATCGTTATTATTATGGCACCTATCAGCTCTAGCCAGGGTCAGGTCCTCGCCGCACTCAGCACAATACAACAAAATGAAGTGGCAGCTTATTGCAGAGCGTATCTCAAAATGATGGACCTAAAATTATTTCAAATGGACAAAATTGGCTGATTTTGATGGAAATAGGATGGTGTAGTGGATACAGTAATTTGAACGGTGTGTTTTAAGGGCTCTCATTTTAACAAAACTGCCTAAAAATACATACTCACACATACACACACACTTTTATCTACACCTTTGGGCAAACTGTCAATATATACATCCAACATTTTAGCCAGCAAAGACCATAATGAATAGTTTCTTATCTGCTCAAAGACAATGAACCTACTTTCTTTCTCCTAATTTAATCATATCACATTCCCCCGTGCGCTTTGTATTTTTACAGCAGTATGAATGCTGTAAGCTGGAGATACCACCACTGATTCTCACAATTTTGTCATGATTCCCATGATATTTGGTGGGGTTTTTTTCTTAAATATATTATTTAACTAAAATTAAAACAAAAAAGCTACACTTCTGGTTCATAAGGTGCCGAGGAAACCCTTGAAAATGCAAAGCCTAAAGTCTCAGGAATATAGGAGGCAAACAGGAGAAATCTTCCACAAAGTCTTTTTTTTTTTTTTAAATCTCAGGATACTGAATACCTAATTGCCAATTTTGAAAGCTTAGATTTAACAATTCTTCTTGTGATTCCAAAATGAGTAGTTGTCATGTGTTTTTTACAATGATGGACGTGGCTACTTTTACATGTCACCCAGCATCCTAGGACCACCTTTTCTGTCCCTTCTACATGCAGCCAGGCCCTGATACTGTGAGTAGATCTGCAGGGGATGGCCACAGCACTCAGGCGGGCATGGGGGCACAACATGTCTTTTCTCCTGTGCGGGTCTTTCATGCAGGCAATGACAAGGGAAAACATTCTTTTTAAAGCAAAATAATTGTAAACCCACAAAATTTGGCAGAAAAACTCAAAGGAGGCGTTGTACCAGAAACTTATTTTCTGTAAACTAAATATAAAATTGACTCCATCAACTTGAAATTCTCACTTTCTGTTAAATTTCATAAAATTATTATAAGCTAGGAGTTGGGAAAGTTCCACAATTTACCATCAACTACAGCAAGCTGCTTCTGAAAATAAATCCCTGACTACACTGTGTAAGGGATAACAGAAGTAAGAAGCTGAGATGCGTTCATGAATCATGGCCTGAGTTTTTCAAAATCAGTAATTAGCAGAACACAGTGACCCAACAACTATTTTTAGTGCTGTGTATTCAAAAAGTAATTTACATGTAGATATTATTAGACACACATTTAATTTCAAACCACAGTTACACAAAGTTTTAATTACTAAATATTAAGATACATTTTAGCATATGGTTTATGATTAGCATTTGTAATTCAAGCTATAAACAATACAACTAATTACATTTATTGGTGGAACTTTACTTCCCACACATGTTCAATCACTTTCAATTACTCCCCTAGTAATCTATGACCCAGCAAGGTACAGAAATTGTGTGCCTACGTTGCAATAACCGGGTAACAGTTTCTGTGCATTCAGGCATGATATTACAGACTCACCCTGTTTTTCTTAACATCTCGCAATCACAGACACGCAAAAATGTAGATTAAAAAGCTGCAAAGACCAATAAAACTGCTAGGTGCTGTGGCATGTATTTGAAAATTGCAGCCAAGTTTTACTGGTTTGTTTAATGAAGGGCTTCCAAACCATAGCCTGATTTTTATGGTCAGATGAAATTTGGAATGAAGACCAGGTTTGGCCACCAAGGGTTTGTAAACAAAAACGCTCCTCCTTTTATACCAATCACCTCACATGCGATGGTCACGTTTGCCCTCTTTTCGCTTTGAGTTTCCCACCAAAACAGCACGCCCACGTCCCAGCACGGGACTTTGGAAACCTGCAGAGCAAAGGGACGAGGCAGAGCAGAGACGCTTCTCCTCCGCCAGCTCCTTTAGCAGCTGCAGACAGGGGGACGTGTCCTGCCCCTGCCAGGCTGAACGCAGCGGCAATTCCCACCCCACGGTATGAACGACCGCCAACGAGTCTTTGCCTAATACCAGGTTTCGTTGGGTTTCTCTGCTTTAACGCCGGAGCGTCAGGTTTTCATCGAGAGCCTTGCACCGTGACGAAGTGATGAGCTGGGGGTCTCTGTGACTGAGGCGACGGCAAACGATCAGGACAGACCTCGGCAAGCACTGAACTTGCAAAGAGAATTTAAAAGATACTCATTGAAAGCGCATATGTTTTTGGACTTCTTTGCTTGTTTTCTTTTTCCCTGCAGGCACAGTAAAATGCAGAGGGCCCAGGCAGAAACCTTCACTCCAAATTAAAGCCATATGCTTCACACTGCTCTCCTCTAAGAGGCGCGGATGCAGAAGGAGCAGCTGTGCAACAGGTCCCCATAACTACTGTAACCTACAATTTTATGAATCAGTTGACCCCAAGTTCTTGCACAGCAAGTGTAGGGGTGGTACGGTTGCTATATGGTGTAGCTGCTCTATCACCCTCATCATCTCCCCCACGCAAAGCAGGAAAGAAAGTGATCAAAAATGTATTTGTCATAAGAAAGTAATTGCCCATCAGCTGCTCCATTTCTTCTTTTTTGAGCTCTTTGCAATTACTAAGTGCCATATGGATATAAAATTGAAGAGAAAGAAGATCATAACAAAATAAAATCTTATAAATTAATATTGTGATAAAGTAGTTCAGGGTTTATTTCAATGATATCTGCTTCAGTTTATGCATTATTTAATTAAACTGCTTTCAGTGGAGCTCAGATATCAAGCCACCTCTACCAAAACCAGGTGTTAATATCCTTTGATTTTTTAAGAAACAATTGGGCTACATGAAATATACTTCTCAGGTCTAGTTTTGCATGACAGATATGTGATGTGCCAATGGTTATATATTATATTCTTCCTCTCAGGCATGCATCTCCTGCAGAGACAGCAGACTACAGAAGCTGACCCTTACTGAGACCATCTTGTCTCTCTGACAAAGCTCCTTTTTAACTTCTTACTTACTGGTTGCTTCCTGCGATGGATAAAAACTTTAGCTCAGCTTGCGATAATTTCACAGGCCCTGAGCACCCTGACCCTGGAAGCCCCAAGGTCAGAAGTCAAGTCTTGTTCTGAAACATCTGTGTGCTTCATATTAAAGTTGAACAAAAGTGAAGAAATATCCACCAGTGTGACAAGAGAAACAGGCAAAATGGGAATGACACGTTGGTCATCTGTTACCCATGCCACCTCAAGCCATTGACTGAAATGTGATGGAAAAACTTGCCAAGCCTCCTTCGAATAAGCACTTTGTTTAGGAAACACCAAGAAAGGTCTCCAGTCAATTTTTATTCCCGCCCTGTGATAAGCCTATGCATCTGTAGGTGTCCGGCGACCCAAACAACGTGGCTTTACAATGCCTACAGAAATTTTGCTAACACTTCACTTTGGAAACATGAGGCACACCAGAATAACCTGGGCTGAAACACAGGGCAGCTGAAAATCACAGCACCAGAAAGCCAAGAGAGAAGAGATGCTCCCTAACCTCCATTGCATCCCAGGAGCAACAGGCATATGTGATGCAACCCGCTTCTTTGCCCAGAGTTGTGGTTATAGAAGGAATTATTCATCTTCACTAATTTGGTCTCCTAAAAATTTAGGTTTGAGACTATTTATCGACCTGGTAACAAAATACCCGTGGAAAATGATCAGCTGAACTGTTCTCAAGTCCCAGTGTACACGTCATACATATTTTAAAAATATGCTTCTGGAAGCACAGGGAAAATGAAAATGGCCTTAATTTCTACAAACGAAAAGGGTTAACAAAAATCTTAAGTTCTTAAAATAATACAAGTGGTCCTGCTCTGGATTACTCTTGCTACTTAGAGCAGCGCAAGATTGAAAACAAAACACTCATGCATGCTTTGTCTTAACTAGGGCATTCATCTTACCTTCAGGCAGGAACCACTTTTACTAACTTTCAGTGAGACTAAAATAATGTCTTATAGACAAAAGATGTATATACACGGCTGCTTATTCCTGTGTCTATAAAACCAGTTGCAATGTTCTGCAATTTATGTTTCCACAATAAACACGACTTTTTTAGTTTTCTTCAATAAAACAAGTCGTGATTACACCACACCAGCACTTCACAATTAAGTGAGGAGGCTATAGCTACGCTCAAAGAATAGTATACGGGTTCAACAGGCAACTTCATATACCAGATGGGGTCAACAAATTTGCCTTTAAAGGGTGAAAGACTGACCAACTGGATGTTCAGCAGTCCCAGCATCAGAGGCAGAGCAGCTTTACAGTGAGCAGAGTCCTCCCCACCTCACATCACCGCAGGGTTTATCCAGAGCCTAATAAACGGCAAAAAAGTCTTCCCAGCAACTTCTGCAGACCTTTGTGGAAAAACTGCAAAATTGGGTAAAACCTCCAAATTTCCCCTCATGTTCAGCTCCAATCTATATACAAAATGGTGCATTTGTTAATGTGACTTTGCTTTAAAACTGTTCTTACGTGTTCTCAGTCTTCACCTCCAGTCTTTGTGCCCCAGAGCAGAAACTCACTGAGTGCTGCCTTTCAGTACATAGCCTGGACAAGGACGATTCAATGCGTTTTGTCTTCCCACGGTCTTTCAGGTTTGTGCACGCTTGGCACCTTATCATCTAACTCAAAACCAGAGAAAAATGCAGTGACCTTCCAGTTGCAAAGAAATCCTCACAGATCTGTATCTGACCATTGGTTCCAAGTTGTTCCTAAATGGCTGCTTTCAAGAAGGTGATCACAAAGAACTGAGAAAATCTGTGAAAGACTTCAGGAAAGAAGGCAATGGAGAAGTCACACTTACCAACTCTACAAAGGCAAGTCCACCATAACTGTGAGCAACAAAAAACACGTTCTCTGCAGCTGACTGGGAAATAAAATGGTCCCAAACATAAATTGCATGTTCTTCAGGAGATCCATTATCCTGCAGAAAGAAATTACGTTTGCGACAATTACCTTTTAAAAACTGGCAATTCTGTCTAAAAAGCAACGTGTTCCTATATGTTAAAATGTTTTGTTAAAACAAACCTCAAATGAATATACCCTAGTGTTAAAAAAAGAACAGATTAATTTGTCTAAATAAAAGAAATTTAAGATTGCTATTTAAAGGCAGTAAAACTGTTGCTTTATTATGGCTTATTTTAATAAATACAACAAAAATTACGCATCTGCAAAATTTTGTCTAAATACCATGATGGCAATTCAGCTAAACAGAGGCATTCAGAGAAATTATGAGCCACTGCTCTGATTTTCTTTCTTTTGACAACTCTTTGTCAAATGTTTGTTCACTGATGGTTTGTTTAAAGTAGTTAAGCCTTAGTCTGATAAAACAAATAAAAACAAGTAGGAACAATATAAATATAATTTCAGTCTTTACAATTTTTTCATATTATGGGCCAATGGAAATCTGCCAAACATTAAAACTGTGGTATTTGCAACTACTCTTTTAAATGCCACTTTTTACAACTGCAGACTATGAGATACAGCACAGATAAAACACCTCTTGACTGCTTATACATTAGCCGTTACTTCGGAGTCTCTAGTAGTGAGGGGAGTGCTTTTTCTTAGTATTGAACAAGAATTTGTGAATGCCAGTCAATGTAAGGGTCACTGAAGGCACCGGAGTGATTTACACTGATTTTAGCGCGCTCTCCTCAAACGTCGGGGTTGTGCACTCCCACCTCTACCTTAGAGGCTCTCGGAAAGCCCTGCACCTCTCTGTAATTCACTTATTTCTCAGGTTGTCCATGTCATAACCACAAATCTGTCTAGTCTCAGGTGACAAGAGTAAGATGGTCTGCTAGCTCCCCTGCCCCACCAGGATTTCACACCTCTAGCACAACACTGCTGGTGCTTTCCAGACTCTTTTGTGCCAGAAAGAGCTGATCAGTCAAGGTCACGTCCTTGCCTAAAATTTGCATCCCTTTCCCCTTTGCTCTGCTCCACCAACAACTTCATACCCCTAGGTGACTCAGATGCAGACCACAAAAGCGTTATTTCCTTGGGGAAAATAAAGCACAAACCAGCAAAAGCCACTGGCAATCAGAAGATGCTAATTACACAGTGTGAATTACTGTAACTTTACCAAGAACACTGAAGTGATTTAGGTCTTAGTCCCACGCTGCAACTCCGTTTTGGGAATTTAAGCTCTTATGAGTGTCTAAAATCAATGGGAAGACAGACAACTAAATAACGTGGTGGATTTAGGCTTTTACTTCTATTCTCATGCCCGGTTTCCTAAATAAGAGGGAGATGGCTACAAATCTTTATGGATCTGGACCTAAAGCTTTTAAAACAATTATGTGCTTTTAAATTTTTTTTCTCCAAGGTAGCAGCGATTAAAACATATTTATCAAATTCGCCAAAAAGCACTGAAGTGCTCTGAGGTATTCTCCTTAATCCTGGACAGATTCTGTTCTTGATTGACTATGACAGAACATAGTTTTAACTAATTATGTATCGACTATTGTAAACCACCTCAGCGTGAGAAAGGGCTTATTTTCTTTCAACCCTGTTTTGAAATTTGATTGTAGAGATAGGTAAAGGAGGTAAAGACTCCTCCCTTTGTGAGGAAAGAGGGAAGGTTTTCAAAAGAAATTTCATAAAGAAAATATGATTGACAGACCAGTTATTAAGATAAAGCTGAACGACAACTTGAACTGGAGTTTCCTATGGAAAACTGATGTACTCTAATTATGATACGTATGGAAAAGGCACATTAAAACACTAGGAGAGTTTTTAAATGACTAGTTTATCTAAAAGATTTATTTTAGTTAAATATGCAGACTTTTTTATTTAAATAATAATGTTAGCATTAATTTTCTTAACAGCAATTTTTGTACAGGTACATAACCCTGCTTTAACATTCTGACAAAAAGAAGAGGTTGTTTCTGGTTAATATTGCATTTTCTGGCATTTTGCATTTATTATTCTACATGCTGATGGGAAAAGCACACAATTTTAGGGTTGCCACAAGAATAAGACAGCAGCATGAAGCTTCTGAAGGATTCAGAAACTCAGCTCGAAAAAGCTTCCACCAATTAAAGCATAACCAGCGGTCTAGTCAACCGAATCATTAACTGCACAGCTTCACAGTCCAGTATGAAGACTCAACAGGATTTTATAAAAGCAAAAAGAAATGAGCTAGAACGAGCTAGATATAGGCTGTAACTACAGTTTTGTTTGTTACTGGTGAAAAAAATGCCATATAATGTCAGGATAAACTGTGTTGCTGTACATACTCTGCTAAACCCTATACAGGGTAAGAAAAGCACGTAGGTGTGAGAAGGAGTTTGGAGGAGTCATGTATGTTTAGAAGAAAAGCTCTCTCTTCAGAGCATCTGCTTATTTTTTCCCCTCATAACAAGCCCATATTTTAAACAACTCGGACAGAGAATAAACCGTTGCCGTGTCCGTACAAGAAACATCTGGCTGCGGGAGCGGGCACCGCCAACTGCAGAGTACGGCCAGTTTTAGGATTTCAAATTGCCCTGGGTCCATCAGGATTAACCTCCTCCGCCTGGCCTGGGTGAAATTATGAGGCTGGATGCTGCAGTTTTGGTACAAAAGGTGTCAGTTTCAGGCAGCTGTTTCTTTCCTTCTTTTCATTGCAGCTAAACAGAATGCACTTATATGCCACCTTTTAAAATTACTTGATTAAGTGGGTGCCTCTTGGTCATGCTTTACATAATTATCTATATGACTGTAGAGAAAGGAATGGGGAAATCACGCTATGTACCTCAGAAGGCAGCTGAAGCTGAACGCAATGTTATTTCTGAAACACGCTGAGATGGAAAGGTGCTGGGAAAGCTGAACTTAAATTTCCAGCTGCTGAAAGTTGGTCATCTGTAACAGGTAATTCTACGTCTAAATAAGTGTTCTGATTCTTTGGAGGTGTGGAAATCAAATCAGAGCATCCCTCTGAAAACCTTCCCCCCACCCCACAATTAGAAATAAAATAAGTCAAGAATGATGTTACATGAAAAGGCCTCTGTGTGATGCTTAACCAATGCAAAATAACCCAAAACCAGGCAATTACTGGATCGCTGCAGAGCAGGTACCTCCTGAGTGGACTGCTGCACCCCAGCTCCGTGGTGCTCGGGTGGGGAACGGAGCAGATGCTCTCGGTGCAGAAGGTAAAACCTTCGCCCGTGCTCCCATCATGTGAAATCCCACCTGCCTTCATTTTTAACAGAACACTATCAGTAAGATTTACCCTTTAATTCACTAATAAATGAAAAGACATACGTGTCTTTTTTCCTAATAACTATTGTATTTTAGTTCTTTTCACCGATAAAAATAGAGCAAATATACCTCATTTACCATCGGTGACTACCAATGCTACAGAGACTATCAGATATTGAACACCTGTCATACTTGCATGCAGCAAATCCCACTGAAGATTGCCTTGGAGATAAAGGTGGTTAAAATCATTTAACACAAGTATTGCCGAGGAATTTTAAATTGCTGATGTTATATTTATTCCTTTTCCTGAATGCTAGAGGAGGCACACACTTCTGGAACCTGCTATAAAAGGGGCATCCATAAAAGTAATATAGAACATAAGTAGCAAGATATTAGGTTCTGATTCAGTTAATGACAGGCGCATGGGGCTAATCAAAAAGATGCTCTTGCCACATGGACTTATTGCTTTTGAATGAGAAATGATCATCAAGCATTTGCAAACAGAATGAAATTTTATTTCATGTGGAAGAGACCGAGTGTTCACAAATACTGGTTTAAGGACCAATTCCTTTTTCTAGTAACAAAAGGCGCTTTTTTTTCCCCCCAGTATTTTTTAAACACTCTCTCTCAACTATCTATAAAAAATGCCTCACTTTTTAAACTAAAATAGCTATTGCTCAAAAAATGATCATAAATGGTTAATACGGAGCTTTTCATTTTAATATCCAAAGTTTAATGAAATAGTTTAATAGTACAGTCTATGAAAATAATATGACAATGATTAATAAATTCATGTCTCTCATATATATGAAGCCTTTTAATATCCCAGGGCCAGAACCTCTCCTACAGCTGCTTGAAGCAGCAGCTTGTGGTAGGGAAGAGGTTGCTGGTCGCTGATCTGCTCAGCCTCGACTTAAGTCCTGGCATGGGTTAGGGACGTCCTGGGCTGCTCCAGCCTAGACCAGGTGGGCTCGGTTTTGGGGGGGCCGTACACCAAGAATGGCAGCCCACGACCGCGTTGTTTTGGGGTCTACGCAACGCTAACAGAAACACATTTGAATGAAACGCTGCTCCTCGTCTCGTTTCACAAAAAAGGTTTTGCTTTGAGAAAACCGGCTTGCAGATTTAAAATTCTCTCCGTAACAGTTTTTAAGGCCCTGAAAAGCCCAAATTGTTGTGGGTAAATGCTCAGGCCATCCATTGTGCGAAAAAGTGGAGGAAGAGGCCACAGATTTTGGTCTCTCATTTTTTCCAATATTGCTAGCAGTAAGAGTTGAAAGGTATATAACATTTTAATGGCTGGAGCCATTAGGAATACGCAGATAAGCAGTGTGCGCACAGTGAATACAGTGTTACGTTCTGTTGCATTCAAAAAACAGGTTGAATTTTCTAATGTAATATCACAGTCATTAATTGTTAAATACCAAGCTGGAGTGATGCAGCAACCGAAGCCTTATCAACTATGCCAGATTCTAACACCTAGACATTGCAAGGTCTGCAGTTATGATGGACTACCTGAGTTGATAACACATGGAATTATCTAAACAACATTTGCATATTTGTGTAATTATTTCCTAAGGTTAATTAGCTCCTGTAAAGCAGCTTGCCCTTTGAGACTGCTTACTGTGACAGGTTCACATATTTCCTGTTTCAATGCCAAATTTTACTTTTTTTTTCTTTTTTTTTTTTCCCCAAAGTAACCTGTTGCTGGAAAGTTATAGATGGAGCAGGAGCTGGAGG